CTAAAATAGAATTTTAATTAATGAAAACTCAGAAAATAATTTCTAAAATCCAAAATTAATTTCTGAAAAAATTCCACAAAAATATATTCTGAATTGTTAATGACACCAGTATCGTACTACTAGTTGTTGTCAAAGAAAAGAGACAGTATATTACTACTATCTGTCAAATAGCATATAACCACTATTTGTTTTTCCAACCAGAATATTATTTTGTAAATCCACAGAAAATAATTTTCTTCCAAAATTATTTACGAAGAATGAAAAAGGGAAACAAACGAAAAATTCTGTAAACAGAATAATTCGAATCTGTCTTAAGATTGTTGGAACAATCTTCTGTGTATATAAAATAACTGAAATAAAATCAAACAAAATAAATTCGGTATGTTATTTATTTATTTTGTTTGATTTTATTTCAGTTATTTTATATACACAGAAGATTGTTCCAACAGCACCATCAATATGTCAACATTGCTTTTCATAACATTCAAACCTTGCAGCATAAGGAAGATATCTTCCTCTATTCAACCTTTTGAACATCTTTGTTTGTAGTATCTTTTGCAATTTCATCAGCAGTGATCATGAATTTATCAATGTGCCCTTTGATGGAACTAAAAATAATCTCAGCCATAGTCCTAGTGAATTGATCAATGTGCCCACCACTTTTGATTTTTTAGGTGATCAACAATTAAAGTCTCGAACATTGCATATGATTGCCCTTACTGTTTGAATCCTCTAGATATTTAGAATCAATCTGCAAAGACCAACAATAGGCAAGTTTCTCGTTACATGATTAACTTGGAAACGAGGAAGGTCATAGATTCTATAAGCAACAATGACATATTTACTCCATTAAAGTTTTACTTTCCCATTTGAGCTCCTTTCAAACTTCCAACAACCACCCAAAAAAAATATGAAAAAGTACAAAACAAAATAGAGAAACTAATTGAAAAATACAAATTATATGGTCATATTATTGGCTTTTAAAGATTAGAAATTCACTATGAATGGTTCTTTGTTTATATGAATCCTTTCACTTGAACATATTGCTTAATTTGATCTTGTCGTCCATTGTTGGTTCGTTTTCTTTTTCTTATGCACCCCTCTTCTTCTTCTTCTTCTTCTTCTTCTTCTCCAATTTTGATTCATCCTTTTGATTTATGCATTCGTACAATTTAATTTTATTGAAAAACCCTTTTCGATTTCGAGCTTGTAGTATTTTTTGTGATAATTATGGCGTCTATTAGACATGGTTGTTTGTTCATAGAGAACCATATTGTCAAATATGATTTGGGTTTAATCTGAATTCTTCATAATTTTTTTATCAATGGGTTTTGAAATTTAGTGGGGAAAAAAAATAAAAAAATTTGACTCCATGATTTTGAAAAACATTCAAGAGCCACCACTAAGAGCATCTCCAACCTTGCACCAATTTTTTCATCTAATTTGATTACAGATTTGAGGAAAAAGTTTGATTTGATATGTGATAATTCAGAAAAGAGAAAAACAACGATAGTATATTAAGCATAACTAATAAAGGTTACAAAGTGAAATATATATATACATATCTAAGCTAAACAAACCCTAAAAATACCAAAGACTAAACTACCCTATCAAAAAATAATAATATCCAAAATACATAAATGCTTAACACCCCTCCTCAAACTCATGATGTGACGGTAGGAAGCATCGAGAGTTTGTCAAGCAGAAAACGGAAGCGCAAAGTCATATGAGACTTGGTGAAAATGTCAGCCAACTGCATAGTAGATGGCACAAACGGCAAGGACAAGGTACGAAACTGAAAATGATGACGCACAAAATGACAATCAATCTCAATATGCTTAGTCCACTCATGGAAGACAGAGTTATGAGCAATGTAAATGGTACTCCGATTATCACAATACATAGGAGTAGGAGTAGAAAGCAAAATACCAAAATCAGCAAGCAACCATCGTAACCAAACAATTTCAATAATAGTAGTAGCCATACCACGATATTCAACCTTAGCAGAAGAACGAGAAACAACTTTTTGTTTCTTACTCTTCCAAGAAATAAGGGAAGTACCCAAAAACACACAAACACCAATACTGGACTTACGATCCATAGCATCACCAGCCCAATCAGCATCAGAATAGGTACGAAGATCCAATGATGAGGTAAAGGAGAAAAGCAAAACTCGGATGTAGAGACCCATGAAGATATCGTAAAATATGAATAACTGTAGCCCAATGAACCGTAGTAGAAGAGGCAACAAACTAAATAACAACATGGACATCATAGGCAATATTAGGACATGTGATAGTAAGATAGACAAGGCTAAGAGCAAAAACACGATACAAAGTAGGATCAGATAGAGGAACCCCATCAGTCGAAGTATAATACATATTATGCTCAAGTGGAGTGTCAACAATACGAGTATCAGTCAAACGAGCACGCTAAATGACCTGTAAGGCATATTTGGACCGAGATAGAAGATAGTCTTTAGGAGAAGAAGCCACCTCAATCCCTAAGAAATACCGAAGAGGACCAAGATCCTTCATCTAAAAAATGACGATTGAGGTGACCTTTAAGGGCAAAACTGCCATCAAGATCATCACCAGTGATGATCATGTCATCAATATACAATAGAAGAATAATCTTACCAGTAGAAGTAGAGTGAAAAAAGAGAGCTGAATCATGATCACTAGTGTGAAAACCCAAAGCAGATACAACAGTAACAAATCTCTTAAACCAAGCACGAGGCACTTGTTTGAGACCATATAATGCTTTGCGCAGTTTACACACAGAGCCAGAAGGATGAGGAAGCCTAGGAGGAGGAGCCATATAGATCTCTTCAGTCAAATCACCATTCAAGAAGGCATTCTAGACATCTATTTGGGAAAGGGACCAATGGCGAACAGCCGCACCAGTAATCAAAGTACAAACAGTAGTCATTTTGGCAATAGGAGCAAAAGTCTCCTCATAATTGATTCTATATTCTTGAGAAACCCTTTAGCAACCAAATGAGGCTTATACCACTCAATGGAACCATCAGCCTTGGTTTTAATTTTATAAACCCAATGACAACCCACAACATGGTGACCAGAAGGAACGGGAACAAGGTCCCAAGTGCCAGTAGCATGCAATGCAGAAAGCTCCTCATTCATAGCATGCTACCAAAGAGGATTAGAAACAACCTCCTTATAGGAGGTAGGTTCAGAAATAGAGTGAATAGAAGCCAAAAAAGAATAGAATGCAGAAGAATAACAAGAGTTAGAGAAACCAAACCAATTAGGAGACTTACGATTTCTTTAAGGATAGCGAGAAGCAGGAGCCTCATCATCAATAGCCGATGGGTCCTCAACCAAGGGAGGGAGAGCAGTAGTACCTGTAGATAAGTCACGCTTTTTCCGACGAACATAAGTATGAATTATAGGAGGAGGAGGAGAAGAAGGAACATCAGAAGACAACTAAGGAGGAGAGGAAGACAAAACAGGAAGATCGGATCTATACAAAACAGTATAGACATATGAATAAGAAGGAATATTATTATCAGAAAAGGGATCAAGATAAATAAGATCAGACTGAGAAACAAAAGCCGAGGCAGATAGGATGGAAAAGAAGGGAATATGTTCGAGAAAGACAACATGACGAGAAACATAAGACGTCTAGAAGAAGGATCATAGTAGTGGTAACCTTTTTGACCTTCACCGAACCTAAGAAAAACACACATAGCAAACGAGCAGACAACTTAGTGCATTCATCATGAGGAAGAAGGACAAAACAAGTACAACCAAACATGAAGAGAAAAGTAATTGGGCAGTTCGCCATGTAATTGTTTAAATGAAGAGATACTAAAGGTTACCTGGAAGGAGATGCGATTAATAAGATGAGTAGCAATAAGAATAGCCTCACCCCAAAAGGAACTAGGAACAGAAGAGGAAAGTAATAAAAAACGTACAGTCTCCATGATATGACGATGCTTACGTTTGGCCACACCATTTTATTTAGGTGTTTTAGTATAAGAAGATTGCTGAAGAGTACCATCAGATTGTAATAATTGAAGAAAGCTAGTATCCTGATATTCCCCACCCAAGTCACAATGAAAACATTTAATAACATCAATGTATTGTGTATGAATCATGGCATGAAAAGTAGAAAAAATAGAAGAAAATTCAGACCGATGTTTCATAAGATAAATCCAACAATGACGTGTATAATCATCACTAAAGACCACATAATATTTAGAACTCCCTTTAGTAGGGATAGGTGCAGGACTGCACACATTATAATGGACAAGATCAAAAGGAGCAGAAAAAATAGTAGTACTTTTACTAAAAGGTAAAGTTGTAAATTTTGCAAGTTTGCAACCACTACAATCTAAAATATTATGAGTACTACAATTTCTCAAAACACCATTCAAAAATAAATATTGTAAACAAAAGCGAGAAATGTGACCAAGATGAGAATGCCATACATAAAACTCAGAGAAATGAGAACTAAGACAAAAAGAGGACAAATCAACGGAAGTTGCAGCAAGCGATGGAACATGAAGTTGCTCAAGAACATATCGTCCTCCCAACTTATGGCTGATCCCAATCTACTATCTGGAATGAGGATCCTACATAACACTACCAAAAGAAGAGAAGTGAACATGATAACCAAGCTCACAAAGTTGACTAACAAAAATGAGATTTAAAGTCAATTGAAGAATGCAATAGATATCAAAGAGAGAGAGAGAGAGAGAGAGAGAGAGAGAGAGAGAATCAATCAGAATAGAACCAACTCCTACTAGAGTCAAAGACCTAAGAGGATCGATAAATACCTGAAGAAGAAGAGAGAGGCAAACCTAAAGAGGAAGAGATCGAGAGGGCATTAGGCGTAGTGGCAGAGAGTAGTTTTTGCATGGCATGAACTTGCTGAGCAAGCGAAGTCAATGCAGGGCTTGTATTCTCTAGGGAGGGAATGGTGGCTGCAGTATGGAGTTCCAACCCTTTTTCCAAGGCATCGGCGACATAGAGGAGTGATCATTACCCTTCTTCCAAGATAAGGACGAACCAGAATGAGGACGTCCAGTAAGTCGAAGACATTGAGCCTTCCAATGACTTTTTTGATGACAAAAACTACATTCATCTAGTGGTGTGTGAACGGATGAGCGACTCTGATTACTAGAAGGGATGACTAGAACAGTCTGACTCGGTAAGGGAAGTAAATCTTTGCCTAGAATGCCCTTGAAACGAATTTCTTCAACTAACAATTCATTCACAACAGAGTCAATAGTGGGAAGAGGACTACAATGAAGAATGGTACCACACAGTCCTTCAAAATCAGCTCTAAGTGCCATAAGAAACTGAACCGAACGCTGCTCCTCACAATAAGTACAATACTCTGTATGAGTACTTAATGCCTTAAGCTTCGTAAAGGCCAATTGATCCCATAACCCAGTCGTAACAGAATAAAACTCTTGGATACTCTTATCACCTTGAGAAGTAGCCCGAATCTTACGTTCTAACTGATACTGTTTTGCAAAATTAGACTCAACATAGAGATGAGAGAGATGATCCCAAATTTCTTTGGCAGTAGTAAACTTTCCAAAATGAATACCAATCGATTGATCCACAGAATTGTTGATCCAAGTAACAATCTTGGCGTTAGTGACTTGCCATGTAGAGAGAAGCGCATTAGAGTTTTCAAGTTTAACATCAGAGGGCATGGAAGATTCACCAATAACATAGGTCCAAACATTTTTACCAAGAAGAAAATTCTTCATGACATATGCCCAATAGGTATAATTATCACCTACTGACTTAACACCAATGGCTTGGAGAGAATCAGAAATACCACCAGTCATGATGAAGAAAACACAAAAGAGAAACTCACCAGCCAAAGAAACAGACAGGAACCAAAACAGAGAGACAACAACAGGGCAACAAACTCCAAACAAAGCAATCAAAATATCTCCAGCAAAGCAGGGAAGACAACAAAACCAACAAACCAAACTAGAACAAGAATAGAACTAAAGAATTGAATTTCTGCTGCAACAAAAATAACAATCAAGCCCACCAAACCAGTCCACAATGAAACCACGAAAAGAGAGAGAGCATCAATGGAGTCACGAAGAGGAAGGAACAACCAGATGATCATAAAGAAGAAAGGGCAGCACCAGACGAGTTTGTTGAACTACTCGAATAGGAATATCTGCAACCTGAGGTTAATTCCAAACACACCCACAAGCAATACAGCAGTCATGGGACACTGTCGCAGTTGCTTGACACTTACAACATCAACGTCTAAGGTTAGGCTTAAAACCTAGCTCTGATACCATGATAATTCAGAAAAGAGAAAAACAACGATAGTATATTAAGCATAACTAATAAAGGTTACAAAGTAAAAAAAAATATATATATATATATATATATCTAAGCTAAATAAACCTTAAAAATACCAAAGACTAAACTACCCTAATAATAAAAAATAATATCCAAAACACATATATGCTTAACAATATGAACTACTCCAATCATTTCATTAAATTTTCATCAAAATTTTATAAAAATTCCTTTCTTATTTGAAATTTCACTTTTCATCAAATTTGATGGAAAAAAAACACCTCCAATGTTTCATCTTTTTAATTTTTTTTTATCAATTTCAAATTTGATGAAGGATTTTATGAATTCTCAATTTGATGAAAAAATGAGTCTCCATTGATTTAATGAAAGGATTGGATATGATTTTTGAGCAATTTTTCATCAAATGAAAGAAATGGTGAATGATTGGATATGCTCTAACTTGCACCAAACAATTGGTCCAACATAGATGAGTTTCAACGTATGTTAAAGCTAAGTGAATTTCAATCGATGGTTGCTAGTTGCTACACTTTTTGATTCTTAGATGCATAGTAGGTCAATCTTGCCAATGGTTGATAGCTTACATTTGTGATTTGGGATTTTTTTGTGAGGTTAGTCAATCCGTATTTATTTATTATAATTTCAGTTGGTGCATATGCATGTGGGCTTTCATCTTCATGCCTGCATGTTTGCAGCAGCATGAAGTCAAGAGAGGGAGATGTTAATAAGAGAACTTGGTTAGTTAGCAAATCTCCATGCTTGAATTGGGCTAAGTTTAGTGTGTTTAGATGATGGGGATGCCATCACTATTTTTGATGTTTTACGAAGCATTTTGGTTGTCATATTATCAAGTTGTGACAGGGGATGTTAAAGAGACCTTCATCATATGGTAAATTTATATGGTTAAATTAGGATCACTTGAATAAGGTAGAAGAGTCATCCTTATTCGAAGTTCTTCTAACAGCAACTAGAATCCTGTTCGATTCAATTACTCACCCAACACTTCATGGTTTACGTTCTTATATTTAGGATTCACTATTTGCAAAATAGTTCCTATATTTGTGTAAATTAATGAGTATTTACTAGTGATTAGTTTGAGTACGAGAGTCTAGTGGTGGGATGCAACATGTTAAACTTCCTACTTGCATAGCATTTGAAATCAAGGGAATTTTTATTTATTTATTTTTGTGGTATGCTGGTGAAGATCCTTATCCACTTCAATGTTGAAAATGTTATATAGAATTATTTTATTGCTTCATTATTCGACTAGTAATTTGTTGCTTATTTTCTTAATGTACTCTAGTTCTGTTCTCATTCTTCCTCTAAACCTATGTGTTTAGCTTGCATAAAATCATACATCAAATGGCTTGTAATGGCCTTGTTTGATAACTTTTTTTAATAGTCTTTTCCCCCCTGAATGTTTCTTCTAGAGCGTATCATGTATCCTCGAGTTCACATTGCACTAAGAATGTCAAGTCATCTTCGACCGGGCGTTGTTCGTATTATTAGGGAAAATATATGATTCCCCACTAGTAAATCAATCAATGGGAATAAAAACTAATATGGAAAAATTAAATCAAAAGCAGCACAAGAATTTTTATGTGGTTCCCTCAATGTGAGGTACGTCCACGGGATTGAAATATGATTCCCCTATCAACCAAAAAGTTTTCAAACTATTACAAATGAGACATGAATGGTCTCACAAAATCACCCTTAGGTGAATTCCAAATAATCACAAATAAACAAGAGGAAAGACCTCACCAAATAGATGAACCAAAGTCTTCGAAACCAGAGTTGAAGAAGACCACAAATCTGAATCAAAATAACTTTCACTAACACTGCAAAGTACAGCTTGAAAAAAAACCTTTCAAATTAAGGTCCATCGAATTGACTTTTGAAGAGCACTCACACCAACAATTGTTCACAAAGTTGCTGCTACTCTATCCCACTTCGGAAGAAAACAATATTAGCCACTGCTATGTGCTACGGGAAAACAAAACAATATTTAAACATATTGTTAAATCTTGGGCTTGTTTTATCAAAGCCCTAGTTGTTACCAAATTGAATTGGGCTTTCACAAGTTAGATATAATATATAAAATATACTATACCCAAACCAAACCAAATTAAAATTCTTTTAACAAACCAATTGGGTCTCAAACTCTAATAAGGAGGTATACCCAACAATTCTCCCCCTACCAACTTAGGTGGAGACATCAACTATGCCGCCAAAGTTCGACACTTTAAATGTTTGTTTCTCGACAAAGTCTTTGTCAACATATCCGAAATATTATCATTAGTGTGAACCTTTTCGAGTTGCAACAATTTCTAATCTAACACATCACGAATCCAATAGTACCTTACATCAATGTGTTTTGATCTCGAATGAAAAGTAGAATTTTTACTCAAATGAATAGCACTTTGACTATCATAATAAAGCACATACTTTTTTTGCTTCAAACCCAATTCTTGCAAAAATTTCTTCAACCATAACTCTTCTTTGTAAGCTTCCATAATGGCAATAAATTCAGCTTCGATAGTTGAGAGAGCAATACATTTTTGTAATTTAGATTGTCGTGCCACAACTCCCCCTGCAAAAGTCATCAAATACCCCGAAGTAGATTTCCTAAAATCAACATCACTGGCCATGTCAGAATCCGTGAACTTATCAAGCATCAGCTTATCATCTCCAAAACACAAACACACCTTCGAAGTCCCTCGAAGATATCTTAAAATCTATTTTACTATTGCCCAATGTTCTTTACCCGGTTTAGAGAGAAACCGACTCGCCACACCAACGGCGTGAGCAATATCCGGCCTTATACAAACCATGGCGTACATTAAAGAACAAACCGCTAAAGCATAAGGAATTTTCAACATCTCTTCCTTGTCTTTGTCACTCGTAGGACATTGATTTAAACTAAGCTTGAAGTGATCCGCAAATGGACAACCAACTGGCTTTGCTTTATCCATGTTGAACTTCTCAAGTACTTTTTCAATGTAGCTTTCTTGACACAACCAAATCAACCCATTTTTGCGATCACGAACAATTTTCATACCAAGTATTTGTTTTGTCGGTCCCAAATCTTTCATAGCAAAAGACTTACTCAACTCTAACTTCAACTTGTTAATTATGGTAGAATCTTGACCCACAATTAACATGTCATCAACATAAACCAAAACAATAATGAATTTACTATCCGAAATTTTTTTCACAAACACACAATGGTCCAAAGTGGTTTTAGAAAAATCATTATTCATCATGAAAGAGTCAAATTTTGTGTACCATTGCGCGGGGCTTACTTGAGGCCATACAAACTTTTCTTCAATTTGCAAACAAATTTCTTTTTCCCTCTCTCCACAAAACCCTCCGGTTGCTCCATGTAAATTTCTTCTTCAAGATCACCATGAAGAAATGCGGTCTTCACATCAAGTTGTTCAATTTCAAGGTTCATACTTGCAGCCATGCCAAGTACAACCCGAATAGAAGACATCTCCACAACCAGCGAGAAAATCTCATCAAAATCAATACATTTCTTTTGCCCAAAGCTTTTCATAACAAGACGTGCCTTGTACCTCAGATTCTTGCCATCATTCTTCAATTTGAAAATCCACTTACTTTTTAGAATTTTTCTCCCCTTAGGCAACTTCACTAAATCATAAGTGTGATTTTCAAGCAAGGAATCAATTCCTCTTCCATGGCCTTTTTCCAATCACCTTTCTTTGCATGCTCAATTGCTTCTTGGTAGCTCTCGGGTTCCCCTTGATCGAAAATCAACACAAATTCATTGGGAGAATACTTTCTTGAAGGTTGTCGGTCCCTTGTAGATCTCCTCAACTCAAGTTGTGGTGGAGGTTCTTGAGTTGGATGCTCTTCCTCAATTGCTAGCTCAACTTCATTAGGATTAGTATCATTCTCTACATCTTCAATAGGTGGCTGCATATCATCCCCATTTTTATCATCATTTGAATATGAAGGAGATTGATCCATGTCAATGAGATCACTAGTTTTTGGCTCCAGTTGATTACCTTTGCCAAAGTCTTCAATTGTTTGGTCTTCAAGAAACACAACATCACGGCTTCAAACGACTTTCTTGTCGACCGGATCCCACAATCTATAACCAAATTCATCATGGCCATAGCCAAGAAAAATACATTGTCTTGACTTGCTATCAAGCTTGGACCTCTTATCTTTTGGAATGTGAACAAAGGCTCGGCAACCAAACACTCTCAAGTGCTCATAAGACACATCTTTGTCGATCCAAACTCTTTCAGGAACATCATCACCATTCAAAGGATAGAAATGAGACAAATTGATCACGTCAACTGCTGTCCTTATTGCCTCACCCCAAAAGGATCTTGGCAATTTAGCTTGTAAAAGAAAACACCTTGTTCTTTCCACAATGGTGTGGTTTATCCTCTCGGCAATGCTATTTTGTTGAAGAGTCTTCTTAACTGTCTTTTGGTGCCGAATACCTTGGCTGCGACAATACTCATCAAATGGC